TACTATACAAACATCTTGGATCACTAGCCTCAAAAATAGATCATTTAATGAACTTCAAGCTAGATGTTCAGTACTAGCCTATATGGATAATACTCTCTGGCTAGTCTTCTCACAAAATAAATTATCGCAAATACTCTCTACTGCTCAATTATTCTACAACATGGCTAATATACAAGTTAATCCTGCTAAATCTATCCTCTGTACCAATAACCCTCCTTCCCAGTATACTTCTATTATATATAATCAACACTCATTATTCTTACACCCACCCCATACTCCTTTCAAATTTCTTGTATACTGGTTTACACTCAATAACAAATTCTCAAAGCAAACACAACTTATTATTAAGTAATCACTACACCTTATTCAAATTGCAGATACTAAATGTATTACTGATATACATGCTTAATATATCATTAACAATATTATTATACCAACTATTGAATACTGACTTTACAACCTAGTACTTAGCCAACAAATCTGTAAACAAATACTTTTACATTACATTAAACTTGTTAAACACAAGGCAAAGCTAAATCATACAATCCTTACAAGTACTCTTCTTTATCCACAAATTTATAATATTCACAATATCTGGGATATTCAACTTCAACACCATATTACTAATTATATCAAGCAAATAAATAATTCTGATTTTCTAGGTACTAGCTCCCGAATACGTATTCAACAGCTCCAAAAAATCTTTGGTTATCTACAAATATCTTAACATATTCTAATTCTATTATTGATGGCCCTAACAAAAACTTAACCAATTTTAAAATTCTTAAGCTCTTTAATCATTTTGGTATATCAGTTACTCACAATCCAATTTATGAGATTCCACATACTTCTCAAGAAGGTTCAATATCTCTTGAATCAATACTCTTATCACACTCTAATTATATGTCTTTTAAGAAACAACTTCGCAAACTTCACTTTCTCTATTTAGATCAACTGTTTATATATGACAATTCCTGTCTTCTTAGCTGAGAGCACATTGCACCAAGACTTTGTAAAATTTCTAAAGAAAGGAAATCTCTTTGATTTACAACCCTTGAAGATCTAGTATTAAATCACAATAGCAACAGAACATTTTATAAACAATATAAACTTCCTGATATTAATTACTATAGCTTTTCTACTGGTCACTTTCTTTAAAATCAAAGTCATGGCTTATAACTACTATTGAGGACCAAATAATAGTAGGCAAAGCAAGAAGACAAATCACTTCAACTGGTCTTGTTCTTATTACACACTGGCAATGCTCTTTCTTACCACAATTTACCAAATTATATCCAACTCAACCTATTAATTTTAGTATATGTCCTGGCTATTCTCACAATTCTAATCTTATTACCAATAGATGTACAATATTTATCCCTATTAATTTAGCATTTAGATTTTTCTGTACTTACAACTCTCAAGAAAAAACTATTAAACCTTACACTAATTATTTAGATTTAATATATTCTATTGCAACTCGTTATTTTCTACACATTCTACCCACTCCCAGTATTTTTTACAACTTTGCCTCAATTCCATCTATATTTGAATCTGGATCTCTACTTCAAACTATCGCCAACTCTAATATCCAACTTTCTGAAATTACTTTTTATACAGATGGCTCTGTCCGAGACTTTGGTACACAAGACTGCTCTATGGGTATTGGATGGGTACAAATCTATCAGAACAATATATTACACGAATTTCAGACACAAATCAAATACTGGCCATGCTTCTTCAAGACAGAACTTGTTGCTATATTGTTAGCAATCAGCACTGCACCTAGATCTTGTATTATTTACATTTTCACAGACTCACAATCTGTTATTTCTAAATTTAACAGCCTTCAAAATTCACCACATTCTCTTTCCTCTACAAACACTCCATATTCTATATTATGGTACACCTTTTTATTAACTTTACTCAATCATACAATCACTATATTATTTTTCGCAAAGTTACTGCATATCAAGAAGACCGATTTAATAATATTGCTGACCAATTGGCTCACTGCCACTTTACCTCAGACTTTTTCATCCTTAAACCTTATAATATTTACAATCTCAACTATTCTCTCCAATTATATCAATATCCTCTAGAGTTACCAACTCGACATACTATCTGTACTATATGTTATTCACATATCTATGCTCTATGGTTATCTCAGTACAGATTTCAACAGTGGTCTCATATTGCTGCTCATATCAACTAGTCTGCTATCTGGTGTTATATTAACAACAACCAAAAAATTTTAAAATTTTTACATAGCTTCCAATTCTCTACTCTTAAATCATTTTGAATTAAAACTCTTTTTGATGAGTTGCCTACTTTTCATATATTGTATAAATATAATTATCACATCTCACCTAACTGTCTTTAATGCAATCAACTTAATACACTATTACATTGGGTTACCTGCCCATCATCTGTACTATTATACAATCTTATCGATAACTCTCTACAACATGTTATCAACTCTACATTATTAAATGTCTCACCTGAAGTGATTACTACAATTCATAATCAAATTAGACATCATGACAGTATAACATTTCATTACAACCAACATACTCCATCTATTAATTCTACTTTGCTGAGCTAATTCTTCTTGATATCATAAATCTACTCAAGGACATTACTTCATCTGCTATATTGGTGTCAACTATTACTATCAAATTTCTTTTACATATTAATTCACAAATTTACCATAATATTTGAATACCTTATTGTATCTCTCGTTCTTTAATTCAATCTTCTAATAATGCTATATCTTCTTTACCAGTCTTATCTCTTTCAACCTATCAGTCTTCTCAACTCCTACCACTTACTATAGCTAGTGCTAAAATTGGATTATGTATTCTTTATGGATCAAATATCAAACAAATTTAAACTATATAATTACTAATTCACAAATTTAGGTGAACCATAGCCACCCTAGTTGGTTTAGGCTACAGATAAATTAGTCTGAGTTTTTTTTCTTACTATCTTAGAATATAAAATTTAAATAGATTCTTTTCTTTGTAAGAATTTTCTTTTCACTAGAAGAATTAAATTAAATTTTAATAAAGTCAGAAACATGGTCTCACCATTAATATTCAAAAAAAAAAAAAAATTTATCTTCAAGACATTTTAATTCATTTATAAGCGGCTTTAAGAAGCTATTAAAGTTCTTTGATGATTTTGAACCAGGTATAACTGTGGCAATCATTAAATTTTCTTTCTTTATCTTTTGAGCCAGAGGTAGATTAGTATTCAAAAGTAAAATAATTCAGCAATCATTTTGCTTTTTTTAAATAGTTGATAACTATCTGTGGATGTGATTAAGGAAATATCACGAGAATCTGTAAATAAATCTGATACAACTAAAGACTTGTATCGATTGCCATCACAAATATCTTTATTTACACTATTTTCAGATATATAAATTTTTTTTGATATATATTCATACCAGTATTGAAGAATTTTTACACATAATGGATCATTAAACTGCATTTGTAAGCTATCAATTACAGAAAAATAAAAGCCAATTTTTTGGCTTTTTTTAATGTTTGTCCAGATGTATATCATGATTCACTACAATTGGAACATACTTCACAATTAATATTTTTGTTGTAAATGTATAGCATGAGTTCTAACACATATCCACAAGCTTTGGCTTGAGTGGAATTAAAGATTTGAAAGTTTTTTGAAGTTTATATAGAGATATTTCTTGAATTTTAAATATTTTCATAATGTTAGTAAATGCTTGATTCAGCAAGGAGTACTTATTTTTAATATATAAAAGCTAAAGCCCTTAATTAAATTATCCAATAAGTCTTAAATAAATAAATAACTTCATTAATATCAGTTATTTAAAATAAATAAGGGTTGTTTATTAACAGAGCTTTTAATTAGTTAGATTAAAGATAAATTCAAAGCTTGATCAACTAATTACTCTATTACAAAAATATATTTACCATTATTATTTTCTTCTCCTAGTCTATAGTCTTGTTCTTCTAGTTCAAATTCTTGTTCATCTTTTTCTAAATCAACTTCTAATTTCAAAAGATGATTATTTTCTAGAGTATTAGAAGCCATAAAAAATAAAATATTTTGCCTTTTTGCTCTTTCAAAGATATCTAACTCTAATTCATTTTCTTCAAGACCATATGAATCCAATTCATTTTTTTCAAGCCCAAATGACACTAATTCATTCTTTTCACCATGCGATTCTAATTTATTCTCTTCAATATCATCTGATTCAAATTCATTTTCTAACAAATTAGAAATTATCACTAAAGAGTTCACTGATATAGATGAAGAACTAAAATTGTAATATCTCATTTCTGGTCTATAACAATATTCTATATTATTGTTGTGTATATTTAGATTTGGATATTAGTTAATGCAGCCATAGTAGATGGACTTAAAATTCTTTTTCCTGCTGCCGATGTCTTGTTCGAATAGAGATGCTCATATATTTTTCAATATTATTAGATACTTTTTACAAAACATACAAGCACATAATACTTTTTTTCTATTACTATATGTGAATTACTATAAAAAAAATAATAACTATAATAAAATCATATATAGTTAGTACATTGAAAGAAGAGTAGTATTTAAAATTTAAAAGTTACTTGCACAAATATATTTGATACAACTTTTTACAAAAAATTTTAATTGTACACATATACAAAATTTAAAATATCAAAAAAATTCTTAAAAATATATAAGCAAATTTTAAACTCTAACTTGAAAACAATGTTTGATTATTTTGATCTTGGCAAATATTGGAAAATTAACTTTTAAATTACTTAACTGTATATAAATTATATATTAAGATTTTTTTACAAATAGAAAGCATACTTCTTGGAGATACAACCAAATAAATTCTTGATTTTGGTAAGAATCTTTCAAAGCTCTTTTCTCTGGATATTAAATAATATATACATGCACATGACTATAGGTCATGCAATCATTGATTAATCACTGATTAATCATAAACTATAAATATTATTAAATTATACTTTAACAAAACAAACTTTCTTACAAACAATATTTTTAAATTCTTAACTCTTTCTTACAAATAATATTTTTAAATGCTTAGCCTATTTTTCTCATAAAAAATGACAAGTTTTAACAATCTAAATAATACAAATAATTATTTCAACAATGAAGACAATAGTAATAATATGAATAGTGAAGCAAACCAAAATACTTCATTATTTCTTCAATTATTATCAAACCTGGCCATTTTATAACAAATACTTGTAGCTATTACTCAAAACAACAATCATATTGCAGCAACAACTTCTAAGTCTATACAAACTATTCCTGTATTGTCAAATACTATTATGGAAGTTGTCAATATATTGGTAAGCATCTTACTAAATATATTTTTAACTTTCTAATAAATTCTTATAAATTTAATTATTTAGTTTTCATATAGGTTAGCACAAAACCCTTTATCAAGGAAGAGTGAAAACAATGGTGGAAGATTAAAAGCTAGAAGAAGATTGGAAAGATTTTTTACACTTGTCTCATGATATCTACAGGATATATTAGGCAAGTATTAATATTGCATATTCTTTTTTTTATAGATTAGTGATCATAATTATAATTTAATTATTATGTACAAAGGAACTTGCATGACAGGTTGGCATCAAGTTGCCAGAAAGGCAAATATGTTTTAAAGCAAGTATCAGAAAAAATTTAGCAAATTATTAATAATATACATACTTATTTATATATATAAAAATAATTATTTGTTATATAAAACTAACAATTCTACAATTATAATATATAGTTTAAAAGTGACTTTTTGACTTTTCCTATTTCCATCAGAGACTTTGTTTTGCAAAAAATATACAAAAATATTATTAGAAATTGGGGTAAATCATTGTATTTTTATTTCAATATAGTAGCATTATATATTAATATTTGATTTGTAGTAGAGACTGAGTGTAAAAACAAGATAAAAGAAGCTCATATCTATGGTATCGAACTACATCCTAAATGCAAAAATGCTATCCCTCCAACTTCAAGATTTAAGAAAACTACAATTCAACCATTAGTAACAAATTCTGATGTAGCTGAAACTGATGATGAAATTAACATCTTATTAACTACATCTATTGAAAATAATTCACCAAGCCAAAATAGTATTACTTCTACTAATTCTGATATTCTTGAATCATCTACCAATATCTCTCATATGACTAGATCCTCAAGACCTTCAAGAATACCAGTCTGATTGTTAGCAACAGGCTCCAACTCAATTAGAGTTAGTACTTCCAAATTTAATAATGATAACAATGCATCTAATCTATCTACTGGTCCTCACATAATAGGATCTTCAAGACCTTTAAGATCTTTAAAAATTCTATCAGAAACAAGTTCTAAGACAATTGTTGTAGTTAGTGATGATAACGATCTATCTAAATTATCTAGCCAAGCCTCTCACACAACAAGATCTTTAAAATCTTTAACCTGGTTTTTAGCAAGTTTAAATAGAGTTAAGATTGGTGATATCAGTTATTTGATCTATCATTATCTCTGGTTATACAAAATAGAAATAATACAAGTATGTATTAATATAAAGAAAATTAATATGACCATAGAATATTCAATTTATTATTATCACCTATGTATAACATCCCTCTTTTCATTATATATTGATATATTCATTTTATAATAATACTTTTTTTAGAAAAAAAAAGAACTAGAACAGATACTAAAAAAGCTTCCAAGGCTACCAAGAAATAGTCCAAGAAAAACAAATAAGAATTACATATAAAGATTAACAAATAAGAATCACAAAGAATAATAATAACAAATAAGGATTACAAATATATAAGGACTATACATATGCAAAATTTATTATGTAGTATGTACAATTTCAGTATTTGTTCTAAAGATTTTTATTTATATGTATATAAGCCTAACAATTTATGTAATATATTTCATTATATATAAAATAAAATAATCATTAAATATTCTGATTATCCTCATATATCCTGTATTTATAAAATATTCTGATTTTCTTCCTATATAATATAAAAAATATTTTGATTACTAGTCAAATATCTTCCTGCTTCAATCTGGTTATGAGCCCTATTTTATATATAAACAATTGTGAAATAACCTGTATGTTTGTAAAGCTAAATAGCAAAAATTATCCAAATTTTTCTGTATATATTCAGGATATTTTTGGAACATTAATATTAACAATTATTTCAGAAAATGCTCATTTTCTGGAATAAGATACAGTTTTTTTCTGGTAATTTTTTATAAAATCTGAAATTTTTTGGGATATAATCTTAAAAAAAAGTAGGATAGTTTTCTGAAAATTTCTGGAATAAAAAATCTAGTATATTTTTAGGATATAATAGTTATTATATTTTTTTATAGGAGAAAAGAACTATGGTGAAATAAAATCCTGCTCAATAACCTAACCCAGCCAACCAACCCAATGCAATTGACAACCTAGCTGCCCAAATTGAGGCTCTAGTTCAACAAATGCAGGCTGCCTGCCTCTAGATCAACTACAATACTCCCAACCGAGAATTGAATCTCATCTCTTATCCTAATTTTGTGTCAGGGAACCAAGACCCTATGATCTGGTTGAACAAAATATTTGCAGCAAATCTGGTAAATAATGATCGAAAAATCTCTATAATTGTCCACATCTAAGAGATTCTGACGTGACTTGGTGGTTTACAATCCAACCTATCAATATTTGGAATGACCTGACCCAACTAAATGGGAGTTTCTACCCTAATTTCATCACTCAATTCCGCATCCCTATTCATATTAAAGCCTTTGTTTTATAGTATCATATTGTCTTAATAGACCTCCAACAGTTGTAAAAGACTCCCTTCATTTTTCTAAGTTTATTTTTATCTCACTATATATTATTGGAGTTAAATTGGCCTTCCAGCCATATTATTTCATTAAGCACTCCTATCAACAGTTACAATAGTCAGTCATTTAACTCCATTTTTACAGATTATATGATGATCAATAACAAATTAACTAATAATAAATTATAATTTTGTATAATGTAACACAATCAGAAAAGTTATTCATTTTATCTCAAGACTTTGCATAATTAACTGGTATTTGTGCTTTAATAAAAAAATTTTTAGTATCACAGTGTTACCCAAACTACTGTGTATTACTTGACTTTTACTATCAGTTTTTAACTTACTTGGCTATTAAATGATGACTTGAGTATTATGCCAGATACTACCACCAATAACAATATGCACACTAAGATACAGTTTATTTACTAAAAATAACTCCAAGATAATGGAATGAAAGCTAAGCATTTCTCCTATTTGGATCGATACTTTATATCATATTAGCAGATCAGCAGAATTTAACCTATTGTTTGGTTACAATTTTATTATTATCTGACCCCTGAAAATAATTATCTAATCATCAAAATATCATATCATTGTAATTAATTGCTATAGTAAAATGAGTATCAAACCAATCTCCCAATCTCAAATCCAATCTCTTGTTAGTATGTATAAGAAAAACTACTTCATAAGCTTCAAAAAGTTAAGTATTACCTCATATGCAATAACAAAATTAAGCACTTTAACGAAATAGAAAATCAAATTGCATCTAATATTTTATGCCCATTATGTTCAAACAAAACATTTAAAAATCTCAAAGAATTATATTTGTATCAGAGTAGAATTCACAAACAGGATAATGATCATATTTTATTATATACTAAGTCTTTGCATATTTACTGTGTTTTATGTCCAGGCAAAAGCTACAAGAATCTACAAGAACTAAGTCAACATGAAGCACTAATCTACCCCAATTATAATATTCCTCGAGCAGGTTTAATACCTCAACTACTTAAAGCAATTTCTGAATTTAAAAAAACATTAGTATTTTTAATTCAAGACAAACTAAAAAATGGGTGTTAGCAACGAAAACAACATGTGAATACACCATGTTTGGAAAGTTTGTTTGTTGAAATTTTTCATGATAATATTAAGCGATATTCATCTAGCCATGAATATTATTATTGTATATTTAATAAAGTTGGGGTATATGAAACATTAAGTCAAATCTTCAAAGATCCAAATTGGGGTGTACATGAATTTAAAAACTAACAACAAACCTGAGTGATTTTAGTATCTCGAGATATGAACAAAATACAACCAAAAATAGAAATTCAATAGAGGCATAGACAAATAAAAGATGAAGTGAACCATGTTTCAGATGCAGATTAAATATTTTTAAGTTTTACGATAGATCAAATTTATTATTAATATTGTAATTAATATTAAATAAATATTGTAAAATATTAGCAATAAAAT